ACAAGGATATAACCCTTCATCAAAAGACAATGAAGAGGCAAGAAACACATAGTAGAACACATCCCAGACTCTGTCAAAGCTGGCTCTTGTCAGCACAGAGTGATTTTAAGTGAGGGAGAAGGGAAAATAGCATGAAAAAAGTTTCACAAAATTCTTTCTTGGTTGCTCCTCCTGTGCTCTGTGTGAGCGGATAGTGTAGCTCCAGGATTTGGGAGAGGGTGATGGAAAAAGGGATTAAACCACTTACTGTAAGCGCAAACTTGCTGCCTTTACAGTGGTTCTCTGAAAGGCCACCTTTTGGGTACTTGCTGGCCTGCTGGCAACATACAGTTTGTTTATTAAACAGGGAATGTAATTGGAATGTCCCTTTTGAGTTAATGAAAATATAAACCAGCTTTTCAGAGTACACCAAGGCCTCTAATTGAATTATCTGCGAGCTTCATAGATTAAAAGTATTCTTTCATCCATTCCTGGCAACCTGAAGGAGGTGAATAACTGAAATTCAGAGAAAAGCCTTATGAAAAGGAGACCTGGCAGAGGAAAGAGCAAAGGGACAAACCATCTGTAAAAGTATTTGTCTCCGCTGAGATGCCCATTGTCTCTACAGCAATTGATTATGTGTGAAAATCATTAAAGATCTGGAAGTTGTGACACCCATCAAAGGGGCAGGGGCTCCTATCACCTGCAGGAAAACAAGCTGTCTCCTCTTTGAAATGATGTTTGCTCTGTATCAGAGGAGTTATTCTTTAAGGGTACCTTGCAAGCAGCAGCCTTAAGCATGTGAGCAGTTGTCAGAAAACCAGCAGGAGCAGTCCTACAGGTAGCAGTGAGCTTGCTACGTCGTTATTTGCAGAGTCAGTCCTTCAGACCACAGGTCCTACCCTAACAGTGCCTGGAGCAGTGCTACCCCACCACTGAAAAGGCAGCTAGAAGTGGCCAGAGCCCAGGGGCATCCTTGATGTGGCGGGGTCTGCTGTGTCCTCATCCTGTGTGAACCATATGCTTTCTGAATTAAAGCACTTTTGCTTTGTATCAGCCAAAGGTGATGGACAAGTTCTTGTGCACTTTTCGTTCACCTTCACATTTATGTCTGTTCCTGCCATATGTCCGTATGGAAATTCAGAGCATTTAGACTGACTTTGCAGAGGAAGCCTGGGGCCAAGCAAGACGTGAACACAGGTCTCCTCTGGTGTTATCGCAGGCCCAGCCTTCACTTCATTGTACACAAATAAATTAGGTTTCATCCCTGACACACATGAAAAGATTTCTGGATTTGACAAAGTAAACTAGAGAGGTGCATATGGGAAAAAGTGGGGTTTGCACTTCAGGGGTGAGTGTATGAGGAACAAAGGGGTTTGCAAGTAGCGAAAAGGATGCTTCACTGCACTGGGGTTTTTTTGTTAGACTCTGTTCTCCCTTTTCAGATTTGTGCTTGAAGACTTTGATCTATAGACATAGTGTGTCTAGGAAAGGAAAAAAAACAAGTTTGCTTCTTGTATAAACATTTAGAGCTTCATTGACTTGAAGTGGAATTTCACCTGAGAACATAAGCAGTGACCTCAGCTGAGATGAGGAGAGCATGGAGAAGGGCACTGGTGCCTGTTGCTTAGAGTTACCTGAACAGTGCCCAGAAGACTAGTGAAAAACTTGCTGATTCATTTTAGTGTGGTGGGAGGTCTCAGGAGTACTGATTCTGCTTTCTCCATCTAGATTTGAGTTAACATTTTTGGCTTTGAAAAAGGGTTGAGGTTGAAAGTTTTTGGAGTGGTTGGTAATTTTATTTGTGTGCAGCACAGATCAGTGCACTTTGAATTGTACATATGTATGTGAACTGTAGCAAAGAAATCATAGTGCAAGTGCCAGAATTCTGCAAAACTCTGGCTAAGAAGCTGGCCCTAACCATAGTCTAAAATGGATCTCAAATGATACTCTTACAGAAGTATTTCCTGTTATCTTTATGATAAGTCCAATTATAAAACCTTTAAAACTTGAACAAATCTTTCACTTAGTGGCCTGTAAGCAGCATGTTTTTTGCTTTTATTTTGTAGTTTGCTATTACACTCGTGCTTGGTACGACACTTGTGTGAGCTGGATTAATTTCCCATGCCAGTTTGTTCTCAGTATGCCCTGTAGGCTAACAGTGTATTTGCAGCCTCTCTTCTTCCTTTGTAAGATTTGCTATTACCATTTACGGGACAGCATGTTCTCTTTTGACACCAGTGTCAACTGCTCGTTGAACAGCACGACATCGGCTGTTAAAGCCTGATCCAAGCCCCAACAAAACCAGGGAACAGTAATGCAATTCAGGGGGTTTAAGGAAAGGCAGTACCTTTTATTAGGTCAGCTGTTACATTTGGAAAGAAAACAGACAAGCTTTCAGGCACACAAACCCTTCGTCAGGTCTGAAATAGCAGCAGTATTGCTTACACCAGCATTCCTCAGCAGTAAGACAGCATAGTTTAAAAAATGTGTCTAAAAGTGTGTGTATTGCATGGCCCTTCTTACTGGGGAGGGCTTCCTAGCAGGACACAGGCAAGTATCATTCTTCTCTCTCCCCTTTCCATTATACACAGCACAAACAGGGGGTACATCCTACAAGAAGAGGTAATATAAGGTCCCTTATCCTTGCAAAATCTTACAGCTGAGTCATGTATTCTCCATAGTTTCCCTGCTATTGGGAAGGACTGTGGCAAAGCTATGGGCTCTGTTGTGCAGGTGGCAACCACAGGATCCACACTGGAAATTCTGGCTTCTAATGTTTATGGCTGTCCAGCAAATAGTTTTGGGACCAGCTGCCAAAGTGAGTTTTATTCTCTTTCATGTGGTTGCTTTACAGGGAACAGTGTTTCCCGAAGTTTCTGGAGTCACAGGTGACTGATAAGCCACCTACTAGCAAAGCCTGTGATTGAAAATGGTGCACAGGCAGGATGGTTCTGCAGAAAAGCAGTGAGAAGATTCCCACTTGGGAATTGCTTGTGGCCGCAGAATTGAAAAATAAGAAGTAACATCCCTGTACACTGTCTGCTTATTATGGATCTGAACATCCTGCTTTTTCATCCTATGAGAGATTTCATATTTATATTCATCTTTCTTCCCTGGAAATCTACAGAAGTATGTACTAAGAATCTTTCTAGTGAAAGAACATAGGCAGGTGCTCAAAAATTAAATGTTAACATTAACCATAATATTTATTAAATGTTAACATTAACTGTAACATTTCTTTCTATATTCCCACGCTAGGAACTAGCGTGTCAACTGTAGTTAATAACTGTGGAATTAAAAATCTGAGGATGCTTTTTGCTCATGTGAATATTTCCATGGTACATAAGCTGTGAGAACTCTGGATTTTGCATTCTTTTTGGAGTGTATTAATAGGTGTTTTAATTATGTGGCTTCTTTATTCAACCCTATTTGAAAATGAAAGGTTGCACTTCAATAAAACTGTCACCACAAGAAAATTGTAAATAAGTATTAACACTTCTGAAGAAATTAAAAGGAATAAATGTTTATGTCTGTAAGTTGATTAACACAGAGACGTGAACAACTAATGAACAAGCAATACTGTAAACAGGAATATGATTATTGGAAAAGCTTAATTGAAAAGGAAAAATACCTCTTAAAGATTATACAAGCCAAAAATCTTAGTTTAAGACCTGCTTTGGGCATTGGTGTTCTGGTGTGAAGTTACGGACGACTGTCTTGAAAGTCCTTAGATGCTCAGAACTTCGTGGAACTCTGTCTTCTTATAAAATACAAGTGTTTCAAATGTCGTTCTTCATCTGAATCCATGACTTAAGGTATATCGTACTTAAGGATCTGAGTCGCTGTTCCTGGCTGGGCCACTCCCAAGCCTGGCCAGCCTTTGATTGATCCTTTTAATAGGTTTCTCCACCCAGCAATGTGGCCAGTGACACATGCCTGAGGCAAGTAAACTGGTATCAACCATAACACAGAGACAAGGGCTTCTTTTTTGTGGAGAATGTCTTAATGGAGGACTCATGTAGACAACCAGATTCTCTAGTGAATCCCAGAATTGGTTTCATTCCCTGTAGTACCCAGCCAAGACATTTGGGGTTGAAAGCATGGCACCGACAGAAAAATGATGAATTTGTCTGTGAAATGAGGAATTAGTCTATGAAAGACGAGCTTCATTCTTATTTGGAACTACGACCTTTAATATTTCCATCTATTTTAAGACACTTCTATGTTGCCAGAATAGAGTAAGTGAAATCCAGGATCCATATTTGGTCCCCATAATAGTAATTGTGTAGCCATGCAGACTACCACATGTTTAGCCTGCAAAGCACGATTCCACGTCTGGATTCTGCAGCCAGTAAAGGGCTCTGATGCTGCAGTCTTTAGACAACTTCTACAGATGGGTCTGAAGTGTGGATGCAGATCTGTCACTGAGTCAATGATTCAGATCAACACCTTGTTTAACTTGGATCTTTTTATAAATTGGCAATTGTAAAACTCAAAAGAACGGTATGAAGGAAGGCGAAGCAATGAAAACATGAACTGCGGAGGAAAAAAGCTCCTAAACCACTACTTTTTACTACCTGACATTCTTCTTTAATAGTGATGATGTTGCAGCTTTTTTCACTCATGAAAATAGAAACAGCAGCAGCAGTGTCCAGCACTCAAGTTAATATGCCAGCAATACATGAATGGTGCACATTATAAATATACATTTAAGGGCCTTTCATGCATACCAGAGCTAAATGACAGCCAGCTCTGCCTCAGTTTTCTTCCATTACTGCATTTATGGAGTAGCCTGTAGTAAGGGAAGGCTGCAAGAGCTGTAGAACAGCAGATGTCATTGCACTTTACTCCATTTCTTCAGCAGCTGGTTATAAATCCATGTGGGAGATGCCAAAAAGCCAAAGAAGTAAAACTCTCTTTTGTTCATTATCTCATCCAGGACTCAATATGTTCATATTGTCGGTCTCTGTGCGGTGGTCACTTTGCCTCTTGTTTTACTGACACTTGCTCTTTTTCAGGTGCCAGGGGACAACGAGAAACACTGGAAGCCAGTGTTAGTGGTCTTGACGGAGAAAGACCTCTTAATATATGAGAGCATGCCGCGGATGAAGGAAGCTTGGTTCAGCCCTCTGCATACCTACCCCCTGCTAGCCACCAGGTACCTGTGCTTTTTTGTCAAGAGTGGTGGGAACAGCTTAGCCAGGAACAGCTGGTGCATAGCTATATATCACACTTGAAATGTCATGGTTTGAGAAGCAGATTCTTCTTCAATGGGCCAATGTGCTCAGCTTAACTTCTCTCTTCTCCATTTCAAGTTCTGGCCAAGGGTGATGGGCAGAAGCACACCACAAGGGTTATGGACGCTGCCGTTTGGCCCAGTTGCAGAAGCAGGAGTGCTGAAAAGGCTGAGAGCTCGATCTCCTGAGATCTTGATCTCAGAGTGCAGACCTGAGGGCTTAGCAGAAGCACTCAGCTGCTTCTGCAGGCTGGAAAAGGTGAAATTGTCGCCCTGAGTTGGATGTGCTGGTGCAGCAGTTCTGCACCACCAGACTGGGGCTTCTGGGGGGATCACGCTTCTCATGGAGATGCTTAATTTCAGCACAGCTTCTGTTTCTGCTCTAGCAAATGAATTCCTGGCTTTTTTAGCTTAAAATGGTGTACTTGAAAGACTCATTCTTGAATCTAGGTTGGAAATAACCATCTGCATTATTTCAAAGGTATCCATCAACACTAATTCAGAGAGAGCTTTCCCATGGTTGTCTTTATGCACTGGAAACTGTCCGTGCTTCTTGATGTGAATCTTAATCACGTTCCTCTGCCAGTATGGTCAAAGGGCTTGAGAAAGAGCTGCTCTTCCATTGTGTTGGCCTTGCTACAGGCCTCTATTGTACCATTTTCAATGAGTTCTCATTCAGAAGGTCTGGTTGCACAAGGTCAAAAGCAGTGGGTCTCTTACTGCGCTCTCATTAGTTAATTTGTGTTCTCGGTCTCTTGGTTCTCTCTCCAAATGAACTGAGGCTTTGCTGCTAAATCATTATATTAAAAATCCAAGCAAAACCCCTCAGTGAATTACACAGATGGTTGTTTTGTCTCAGTCTACCTACACATGATGGAGCTTTCAGACTTCCTGGGAAGCCAGCTTCTGACTCACCCTTTGTTACTGTCACTTGAGGTGAGAGCCTGAAGCTGAGCAGCTTGCAGCCTGCCACGTAGTGTGGTGGTGAAGTTTGACAACTCCAGATGACAGTGGCTGATTACAGCTGGGCAAGGCACTGGGACCAGAGGCTGTATCCAGGTCTGTCACTGAGCCTCAGAGTTTGTGAAGCAAGAGCTCCCCAGCAGATAGTGATGTGTTTCCTCCCCACTGCTTCACGGTGTCATTTGTACATGGACCCAGATTGTCCTCCTTGAAGTGACTGGAGATCCTGTGGAGCACTCTGCCCCTTCCTGTCCATGTGTTTGTACATGTAAAGGCAGCTCTTTGGTGGGCATTGCCAGCCCCAGCCAGCAGAGACCACCAACTTACTGCATGAAACAATCCAAGTCCTTGTCTTGGAGGACCTGTTACTTTATTTCTCAAGAGTTCAGATTTGATTGCAACTGGCTTGCCTTGAGTGGGGATAGTCATCTCCCTGTCTGATGGCATTCCCTTGTGAGTGGAGGAGCATCAGCCTTCAGATAGAGGGGAATGAGAAGGGTCTTTACAGACTGGAAAGATGGTCTGTAAGAGAGACAGGAAGCGATTTAGAAAGGACAAGTGCAAAGTTCAGTGCTGGGGAGTAATGAGCTGTGCTGGTTTGGGGTGGAAAATAAGTGACAAAATGGTTGCTCTGCCAGGAAGCATCTGGGCAATGTGGCAAAATTGCTTAAATCTGCGGTGTTCTGGTTTTGAGAGGGGAAAACAAAGACAAATCATCTCGGGTTTCAGCAGAAGTGCTGCATGTTGGGCAGATGTAGTGATCATACTTAAGTGCAGAGCATGACTAACGGCTTGGGTGATACACTGCTCTCATGGGAGGCTTCCAAAAAGATGCCAGTTAACTGTGGAAGGTCTAGAAGAAATAGATGCAAATGTAAGACACAGAAAACACTATTGGTAGGGAATACTTAAGAAACATTACCTGTTTACAGAAGTCCATGGAAAACATGTAAATGGCTTTCAAGTATGAAAATGAGACACAAGAAGGACAGGGGAGCATGTTCGCCAGGTCCCTCCTGGATACAACAGGACATAGTCGGCTGCATTTGTGGCAGGGGAGGTCCTGGGAAAGACATGGTGTGCAGGTGAGATACTGGATTAGATTCCCCGGGAAAGGTGTATGATCCTCATCAGTGGGGACTTTGAAGGATGGGTGATGCTGTGACCCTCAGGAGTGTGTTCATGCCCTGGGAAGGGGGGTGCACCAGGTGACATCCTGAGAGCTATTTCAGCCCCATCTCTGTGATTTCTTACTAATATCACTGTGAATTTAGCGCTTGGGTAAAAAGACAGCACATACACAGAACCTGGCATTCAGAATGGAGTCGCAATCTGATAAATACATATGAATACATGAATCCTCAAGGTGAGCAGATTACATAAACTGACAAGATTCCCCAAATCATTACACCTACTGTTTCGGATGATTGTGATTAAAACCCTGCAGCATCCTGCTTTTCTGATCTGTCGTGCTGAGTACAGTTATACAAGAAAAAAAGAGAGACCTACGCAGGGATTGCTGTTGGTATTGACTGCTGTGCTCACGCTCGGCCAGTGATTACCCTCCTCGTGACAGGCTTTTTAATCCCCTCTGTGCATTGATCAGTGCAGTTTGGAACTTTTCACCTGGAAAGTTTGCAGACCACATGTTGTAATCTTGGCTGCTCCCATCATTCAGATTTTTATGAGTCCTTGGGAAAACATTTTTGCTTAGCTAATGCATATTTGAAAAGCTGCTGAAACTGGAAAACTTCAGTGCCAGATACTGTAGAGAGTCATGCTTAATCTACCCAGGACATAATGAGCAGAGAAAATTGGAAAGTGGTGGAAGGATTACGATCTTCTTAGAGTATTTTAACAGCAGAATTTCAACATGTCCTTTTTGTTTGTTGATAACTTTGCCTTCAACCTATGGATGCTGTTAAGATCAAAAAATACTTTCCAGACAGTCTTTCACAGCTTTGTGTAGAATATGAGTAATAGCTCACAGAAAACTGAGATCAGATTTAAGTTGTTCCTTAAATCTCTGCACCGGGAGGTGCAGCAGCTGGCTCATAGCCCTGACTCCAAGGATCTTTCTGTCATAATCCCTATTTCAGTGTTTCCTTATGCCTGAGTAACAGTGCCTCCCTCTAGTTTGGGACTAGGGATTAAGTAATTACATCTTAAATGTTTGCAATCGAATTCCATTATCTATCATAGCCAGATATGAAATGAAAGGAAAAGAATAAAAAGGCAACCCATGTTGGACTCTGATTAAAGATCAGGTAAGTAGCTTTTGTGTAAAGCTGAGGTCTGGAACCGGAAAGTATTAAAGCAGTTTGATAGTTTATACCATGGGAAGTTGGGGAAGGAGCTTGAGCACTGATTAGTCATCTGTGCAAGTGGGCAGAGGGGAAGGTGGGGAGCACTGGGGCCCCCCAGCACCCCAGGACAGTGAGGGTGGTTGTAGCTCCCTCCATGCAGAACTTGAATTGAGCTCATAGGTTTCCAGAGTGCAGTCATTCCAGAGCAGATTGCAAATGCTAAGTCAGGGTAAGGACTGGTTTCAACATAACAAAGGTCAGATGATAGTGGCTTTCTACAGGGCAGAGCTGCAGGCTGTCAGTGCACTAGTATCATGGGCTCTTCTGAAATAAATCTTGAATGAGCAGCTGAACACTTGTTTCGAATGTCAGTCCTGGTCTCACTGTCCTTTCTGAAGAGGCCATTAGATTTTGCTGTTGCGGTAACTGGTTGAAACTCTTCTCAGAGCATTGAGATGAAAAGCAGGTCCCAGTGCATCTCACCCAGCACTTCATGTGCCCATCGTGCTATCACACCTTTGCAAAGAATATTGCTAAAAAGGTCCCTAAAATATAGAGAGACAAGGAAGACATTAGAGAAGATTGGAATTGTCTCCCCGGCTCCCTGGGGTACGCTGAGAGTTGCACTTTACAGCCGCTGCCTGTTATCTATGCTCTTCGCAAACAGACTTGATCGTGATGACCAACCTTCTCCTGCCCTCTTGCGGCTCTGGCTGCTCTGGGGAAAGGTGCTCGGGCTCCTGCATGCAGGAGATAGATACCCCAGAAACTTCCACAGAGCCCAGTAACCTTCATGGGCTGCAGGTGAATACTACAGGAGCCAGCCCTCCCCGCACACAACCTCTGCTGTGCTCAGAGTGACGGGAGGCAGCGCTGAGGGGAACCCTTCTGTGGAGTTTCTAAGACTATTTTTTGCCTTTTAAGGTATTTTTGTGGTCTTTGGGGTAAAATATCGTTTATGTAAATGAAGCCGCTTACGTGAATGCAACTTTATTAAAGCTTGGGAATCCTTTGACCTGTACCCAAATACATCAGTACTGACAGCTGGTACATAAATACTGTCAAATGTTCCCCTGCATATTTGTCTAGGTCGTGTTTAACTGCGTGTTCCAAAGCACGGTCTGGAGTTGTATGACAGAAAAGTCTTTTTATATAGTGAGACTGCATAATGCAATGGGAAGGCAGGCAAGAAACAGTGTTCATGTTGGATGTGTCCACACATTTTCATTTGTTCAGTACATCTTCTTTCTATCCATGTGCTGCAAAAGCTACAGTGCCAGTGCTTTGGAGAAAGCATGAAGATGTAGGGGAGCTCGGGGGGTGGATTTGAAGGGAAGTAAAACACTGGAACCATCTGTCTTTCACACATACAGTATCATAAGTATTAGAAAACAATTGCTAGCACTGCTGATGAGCACTGTATAAAGGGGAGGGGATGACACAGGGAGATGCTGGAATAGGTTTATTTGTAATGACAAACTTGATGTGATTTCCCACGCTGCTGTCTCACAGTCACCCCCAGCAGCAGAAGGCAGCATGAGAGTGGTGGCCATGCCTGCACTGGGGTGACTGGCCGGGGCCAGGCAGCACCACAAGTCACCAGAGATTTCAGTTTCCAGTCTCCTGCCTTAGTTATCAAGATGCAGCTTCTCCTCAGTTTCCATCTCCTCGTGCCAAATGAGAGTGAATTACAGGTTTGGGGCTGTTTGGTGCTGAGTCCCCCACTGCAAAACCTGCAGGTGGAGGCCTTGAGTACCAAAACTGAGCAGGGTGTTAACGCAGCCCTTCTAGGGGCAGAAAAGCATTCGGGGACTATGGTGGTGCCTCTTTGCAAAAGGCTTTCCTGCCCAGACACGGGGCAGGGCAGCTCTGACCAGGATACTCTGCATCTCCCATGGCCTCCAGGGAGCATGAAATCAAGGTGGATGCTGAAAATCCAAAGAAAGTTACCACGAACCTGAGCACGAACAAACCTTCTGGTGGGGTATGAAAGAGGGACACATCTGTTCGGCACAATGTGTATCCCAAATGTCAACACCGATTGCAGGGAATTCGGGAAAAATTCAGATGCCCGGTGGTTAGTGTCACAGTAACAGCTAAAATCGTGCTTTTTCTTTCCTTTCTGCTTTGTTTCCTATTAAAACATGTCTGTTTGATGGCATAGTTCTAGAGCATCAGCTAAAGGGAACTGTTCTTCCAGATGCAAAACAGTAATTTGAGGGTGAATTAGCATTCCATAGATGATCAGTATAATCTAATGTTTTATCCTTCAGCACAAGTATTCTACTACCGTGATACACACTTCCTTTATAGGCTCATATGATGTATATGGATTGCCTATAGAAAGAGAAACAGAAAACACAGAAATAAGCTTTTCAGAAGAATTTAATTTTGTGACTCCCTCTGAGGGTTAGTCTCTGGGCCTCAAAGAATGATGAGCTCCTCTGCATTATGCTTTTCAGCTGAATCAGTGTCATGTCCCTGAGTGAATTCTGTATTCACTGTTCACACTTCTGCAGGGAAAAAAACCCCACCAACCCAAAAAGGCAGCTTAAAGAAGAATTAAATATTCTGAGGTATTGATTTTCTCACTCGAAAATATTCTCTCCAATTTAGTGTTTGCCCAGATGAACGAACCCTTCCTGGTCACAGGAGATCAGCTGTTGATGCCAAGCAAAATGTTAATTGCAGCAAAATGGGAGAGAATTTCAGATTACAAGTAGCTGCAACATCTTGCATTTTACAGATTCCTTATAGGAAAAGTAGGCACAAGACAGTACTTTGGCATCTGTGCATTTTATAGAACGTCTTACTTTACCCAACAGCATTTATCACTGAGTTCGTCTGCAGATGTTTAAGCTTTATGGCAAATGCTGCTTGACAGTGAAAGTTGGGATTCAGCTGCCACATATGAGTGAGCACTTGTATCTGTGGACCAAACAGATCACCAGAGAGAAGTCAGTGATTTCTCTCAGTTCCTCATCTAAAGTGGTGTTTTGTACAGTTAATTAGGAAATTTTGGGACATCCCTGTTATCACCTGCATGTCCAACTGCTTCTGTACTCGCTGCCTTGGACCGTCACTCTTCTGAGTGTCACTGGGAGTCACTTTAGGCTCAAATACAAAGGAGATGCATGTTCTTGTGCTCCCAACCATGTGTATTTAGGAACACACAGAGCAGAGCTATGCTCAGGTGGGTATTTTGGCGCAGTGCTGTGTCAGCGTTACAATTCACTCGTGTTCTCACATCCGATTGCAGGTTGGTCCATTCTGGCCCAGGAAAAGGCTCGCCACAGTCAGGGATGGATTTATCTTTTGCAACCCGCACCGGTACAAGGCAGGGGATAGAAACCCATCTGTTCAGGACAGAGACTAGCCGAGACCTCTCACTGTGGACACGGAGCGTGCAGCGTCGGGCGGGCCTGCCACAACTCTGCAGAGCTCATCACGGAAATCACCACATGTGAGTAACGTCTGCAGCGCCGCAGCTCCACACATCCTCATGATGCTCGTGGGTAGTTCAGGGTACTTCTGCTAGAGGTGATTCCGTCAAAAAACTCTGCATATTTAGGGTTCTGTGTTTAAAATATTTTCCCCTTGGTTTCTGAGCCAGTCCCAGCTGGTGTGATACCTGTGGCTGTAACACAGTCACTGTCATTCTGACTTTGGGTCTTGTTTTCAGGATGTTTTTTCAGACACAAGGCTGCAGTCAGCCACAGAGGGCTGCATGTCACGGAGCAATGACTGTCAGAGAAACCCACTGAGAAAGGCATGTTTCTGAGACTCAGGCTCCTGAGAGCCTGGCTGGAGTTTCTCCTGCAAAGGGAGGAGTCAGACTGGCACATTCACAAGCATGAATTGGTCGATTACATGTACCCAGCTCTGCACACTTGAGTGAAAAAATACAAACTAGTCCAATAGCTGTATTTTGACAGCTGGTCATTTCTGACCCCAAGCACCAGGGTGTCATTCCTCAGCAGTTCTGTACATGCAAAATGGGCTGGAATAGAAGTAATCTAGAATGATGGCCTGTTTGGCCAGGTAGCTGCCTAGCTTGGGTTGGATGGCTCTGGGGCTTTGAGGATGGGTCTTTCTCTTGAACGACCCCAAGATTTGGGAGTCCTTCCCCCATTAGCCTTACAGTATAGGGCAGTTAAATTGAGCATTATTGCCATTCATTGCCTAAAAATGTGGGAGCAAGAGCCAAAGCACAAAGCCACTCCACGACAAAGGGCAGCTCTGATTTCATGAAGCCATCAGGTACAGCCACATGCTGCTGAGCACAGGGACACCTGCCTGTAGGCTGCCAGGCTCCTCTGATGTGGAGTGTTCAGTGTTCAGTGGGAACCACCTCAAGGGCATGTCCCATCTCCTCAGCACAGAGACACAGGTCCCTTTCTTGCCAGAAGCAGGAGGAGGGCATCAGCTCCTTCTTTAATTGTGGTGGTTTTATGCCAGTGCAAAGGACCATTCTTGGCAGAATTGTTCACAGGAAAGTGGTAGTAAAGAGAATTTGGGATGTGAACACCTAAACTCTTTGGTTTTTACCTTGGATCGTGGCCTGTGTTGCTGAGCTGAGGGGAAGATGCAGACTTTCTGCTGCAGTAGCTATTATATACAATTATCTGGGCCCTTTTTCAATTACCACGACACTAATGAGGCCTCAGGAGTGTCTTCATCTTTGTCAAAATACTTTAGGGAAACCCTTTACAGCTTCTAATTGTCTCATGTGTTGTGCACCGCATTTATTGATTTTGGCTATGTCTGTCAGACATGAGAAGAGTAGCTGTGACTTTGTCAAGGTGTGGGAGGAAGCAACACCAGCCTCAGCCTTCTTAAACTTCACTAGATTGTTTTGGGATCAGCATGTAGATGTCTGCAGCAAGATGAAGAATGCAGCAAATAGCTGGAAGGACTGACATCAGGACTGCTACTGCCAAGCACAGTTGTAGTCTGTGTGTTTACACCATCACTAACAAACCTTGCGTGGACCTAGCACAACAGACAGATTGCTGCGGGTTTACAGTTAAAGCCTGATTAGCCCAGCTTTAGGAAAAGTTAGTTTCCACAAGATAGTGTTGAGATGGAGTGTAAGATGCAGATACCTGCAGCGAAATGGACTTTGTTGCTTTTAAGAACACTACAGACTAAATTTTGTCTCTTCTCTAGCTTGCACATACAAAAGCCAGGAGTGCCGCTTGACCATCCATTATGAACATGGATTCTCTCTTACAACTGAACCACAAGATGGTGCCTTCTCTAAGACAATTGCACAATATCCCTACGAAAAACTGAAAATGTCCTCGGATGATGGGATAAGGATGCTTTATTTAGACTTCGGAGGAAAGGATGGAGAAATTGTAAGTAGTGCTTTTAGCAAAGGGATGCATGTTACCATCTCTTTGGTGGTCCTTCAGGCTGTGGGGATGGAGAAGCACTAATGGAAGTTGGACTAGATGATTGTTGTAGGTCACTTCCATCTGAAATATTCTATTCTGTGCTGTCCTAGTCTGTTCTAATAACAGTTGGCCAGTACCAAGTCCCAGTTCCAGTACTGAGACATCGTGCTTTCTAGGACAGCATGTTGATCTGGCTTTAGGAGACAGATAAACTAAAAAGAGACATAAAATCGTAAAACCATGCAAAGACGGATGTAAGATTTCTTATATTGAGGAACAAATTGTATCTCCAAATAGCCAGATGTTAAATTTCTGTATGTATCCATTGTGCTTTTTAAGTGATTATGGGTGGAAGAACTTAAAAATAAGATAATATGAATTCCAATGTGCACATAGGGACATAACAACAAACTATGTTTATTTTTGAACATCCAGTTGCTGAAAAAAAAAATCAAAGACTACAAATGTAGTGCAAACTGTCTGCTTAAGCCTCTAAGTTAGCTGTCACAATCCCTTAGAATAAGATGCTTATTCCTACAAGCAGCTTAGATACCATAAATTATGCATGTAAACATGGTCTTTCCGGCTGACGTTTTTCAGCAGCTCCTGAGCACATTGGGTGCTTAATTCTTCATGTCATCATTGATGACATATACCCTGTGAACTGCTTATTGTCAGGCTTTCAGAAAGGAATTTGTTACTAACTGTCAATAAGGTTAATACATGACTGGTGGAAAGGCAAATCTGGTTTGTTTTGATGGAAGCCTCCTGTTGAACCTGCTGTCCATGACAAGTCTGTCATGCTTAGCAAGCATGTGGTGAGATCATCTGAACCATGACTATGGGGGAAAACATCTCCATTCAGTCTTGCTGTGTGAACAGAGGAGCAGCCATGCAGCATCAGATGAAGCCTCAGTATCCTGCTTCAGCTGTACACAACAGCAGCTGCACTGGCTACTGGCCACAGCAGTCCCACCACCATCCCTGGGCAGAAACAGAGCCCAAAATGACAGAGGGGTTGAACCTCTTGGAGGACTGCTTGCAGCATCTGACTGAGTTTGCTGCTGTTTACCCAGGTGGATGCAAGCCCAGAGGCACCAGGAACTCATCTGCTCTCAAAATGCGTATTACTTACTTTTAGTAAACTAAGTATTTGCAGCTGTATGCAACGGGAAGACCGTATGTTATAATAAAGGGTTGTTATTAATAGAAGCCTGTTCAAAATACCAGGCAGCAGTTCATCAAGTACTCCATAAATGATTGCTTATTTGAGCCGTAATCTAATCTAATCATCTCAATTTCATTTCTTTCTGTACTTTCAGCAACTGGACCTTCACTCCTGTCCAAAACCAATTGTGTTCATCATTCATTCCTTCCTCTCAGCAAAGATTACGAGACTTGGCTTGGTGGCATAAGTGGGATTCATGTGTTTCTTGAAGGAGAGATGGAGTGACCATGCTAATCTGAAGTACAGTCAACAGGAGCAACCTGTACCAGCCAGTAGCATACACCAGCTTGGGGCTCAGTACCAGGCCTTGATCGTTTCTGCAGTCTTCCAAGGCCCAGGTTTCATTTTGATCAGCAAAAGAGGTCACATGACAAGGAAAATGGTGGATTTCATTGTAAATAATGGGATTTTAAAATCCCACAAGAGACAGTAAAAGCGTGTAGTGCCATACATGTAAATGTTCCAGAATCATAAATTGTGCCTATTTCAATGTACTTGTTTATATAGAATAAGTAAAGGGCTAAGCAGACAAGAGCAGGTGTTGGTTGTGATGCAAGCTCAAGGTTGGTTGAGTAGAAGTTCTCCAAACAAGATTGTCCCACCACTCAAAAGTAAAATATTGTTCCTGTTCTAACCCGTGCACCACTTACAGAGCGCTGTCAGAACACATTGCTTGAGCACCCAGCAGACCATGCAAGTGTGTACCTTGGAGTCGGATGCTCTAATGCATTACAGCTGTGGTCGGTGAACAGCTGGAGGGGCACTTTCACATTAAATGAGGAGGGCATCTTGTGTACATTCCCAAAACAGGACTAGCTGTAGTGATGCATAGAGACTCAGCTGTCAGGGAGGGACATAGGAGCATCATTTCTTAGTGACCACACAGGATGTATTTTTACAGTGACTTTCCAGAATGGTTTAATGAGGTCCCACTCCCTGGGCTTCTGGCTTAGGTGAGAGTTACCTGAATCCATGTTGAAGCATGACCTAAACTTCTGCCAGCACACTGCCACAGCAGTTTTCCAAGAGAAAACCATGCTGAGCTTCCTGTCCTCCTACCGCAGCTGTGTCACCCCCTCAGCTCAGATGAGGCTGGTTCTATGTCTTCATGGAAGAACAAATGCGGAAAAGGAAGAACACTTGATTTTTTTGAGAGTTTCCTAGATTAGAACAGAGAAGTTATTCAAGCAGCTCTACCACAGTGAGGAAACACACCAGGATAAGATGAGCTGCAATGCCAGAAAAGCCTGAATATGGAACTGCTCCTATGACCATGACTTGGCAACTCCAGATTTATTCCTGCTGGTGAAATGTAGGACATTCACCTCTGTATTCATAACTTGCTAGTTCCTGTTTTGCAACACAACTACTGTATTAAGTCAAAACACACGATTTACTGAGTTTCAGCCTCGTTCACAAAGCAAGCAGCAGGCAGGAACACTGACCATCATCAGAGGTGATACACACAGCTTGCACTTGGAACTACTAAATTGGCTTAGTATGGTTGGATGGGAAGAGAAAGCAGCAGAACAGGGATGGAATTTATGTTTGCTCTTACTTTATAACCAGAACTGCTTCACACAGGGGAGGGGTTTTGTTTGATGTTAAGATTTTTGCCCTAAATTCACACTTAGAAGGACAGGAACTGTACAGGAAATAATGAACCCAAAGTCTGTGGAAGTTCTCTTGTATCACACCACTTCTTTTACTCTTGAGAAAGTACGTAAGTTTCAACTTGGCATCACTTGGCTGGCAGAGAGGGAAATTAAAAATACAGTTTGTATCCGTGTTGTTTTTAAGCTAAGTCTTGAGAGTTAAGTGTTAAGTCATGCTGGTTATTCACAGCATAGGAATTAGTTCGTGGCGGTTTCCACAGGTATCCTAATCATTGAGACCAATTAAAAAATAAGATGATGGGCTAAATTCACAAATACAGAAATAACTATCAAAGAACAACAGCTTAAACCACCCGCTGGAGGAGCAGCCCCACTCCCAGCACTTCTCACCAGTCTAAAGCCAGCATTCACTGAGCTGTGGACTTTGGTTTTACTGTTACGGTACTTACACTTAAAACTTAATTCCTTGTGTAAATTCACAGGGTAGGAGATGACATGTTACACGACTTACCAACACTGTCCAAATGGACATTTCTCCTTTAGCACCTGCTGCTGCTCACATAACTCTCGGTGGCAGTTCCTTGGGCCTCCTTTGGCTTGGAAGCTTCTGGGAGAAGATCTCCTGAGAAGCTGAGAGCAGTCGGTACGCTGGGGTCTGCATCTTTTCATATGAGCTCACACTGCATCAGCAAGTAAACCATTGGTGAAGACTTCAAAAAGCTATTTGGGACATTTTTATTGCTGTTCCAAAGTATAACTGAAGAATTTGGACACAGGCTCCTATAAAGTTCCAGAGGTTAAAGTGAAAACTTGTATGTGGTAGGTTAAATACGTGTGTAAACTATACTGCACTATTTCCTTATTCCTTTAACACTTACAAATCACTGGAATGTTATACCTAACATGTATGTGCATTGTAAATATTACAAATTCCTATATTAGTACCAACAATTAAATGACACAATATGTAATCTAAGGTGCTCAGTACTATATGAAGTATAAGTGAATAACAGTTTGCAAAGAAAATTCATATTATATATATTTATAGAAAAAATAATGATAATTACAGATGCTATTTCTTCATTTTCAGATTTTGGACTGATTCATATTTGGATGGGATAGACAAATGAAATATGGACCTACTCCACATTTATAAAAGTATAGTGAATATTTATATTTTAGAGGAAAAGAATATATTTAATAAAGTCATTTATTGGATTTCTGTGAGGTGAGCTTAATTTGTACCCAAACAAGCTGTTTGGAAGGCTGGCCTCTGGTTTTGGGCTGGGGAAAAAAGTACATTTTCAACTTCAGACATTCTGTTCAGAATTCAGTTACTTGAGAGAACTCTTCATCGCATTGATGGAATGACTTTTAAAGATTTAAAATAAAAAAAGTATTAATGTACTGTTGATGGTGCACTGGTGCTTTCTATTGAGTAAGCTCCATGTTTGTGGAGAGCGGCACTGTTGCCAACATGCTGGAAGTGTAAGCGGGCAGCATTTGTTTTGTGTTGCTGCTGGAATTTACTGAAAGGCCACAGGGATGTGGCCTGTGGAGACAGGCTGAGAGCTGGGGATGTTCAGCCTGGAGAAGGGTCCAGGGAGACCTTAGAGCAGCTCCCAGTGCATGGAAAGCTGGAGAAGGACTTTTTATAAAAGCAAGTAGCAGTAGAACAAAGGGGAATGCCTTTAAACTGAAAAAGGGTAGATGTAGATTGAAGAAGTTCTTCACTGTGAGGGTGGTGAGACACTGGCACAAGTTGCCCAGAGAAGCTGTGGCTGCCCCATCCCTGACAGTGTTCAAGGCCAGGCTGGACACAGGGGCTTGGAGCAACCCGGTATAGTGGAAAGTATCCCTGCCCATAGCAGGAGGCTGGAACTATATGAGCTTTAAGGTCCCTTCCAACCCAAACCGTTCTATGATTATATGTGCTGGGGTGGGTGGTTCAGACTCACCTGCTGAAGCTGTAGCACTTCCTCTGTTGCTCGTACTGAACTGGGTGCTTACAGAAGTAATAAATCAACTTCTGAATTCAGTGGTGACTTCAATTTTAAAGAGCAGATATTAATAATACACTAGCGAAATTTCAAGACCCTCAGCCTGTTTGATGTAAGTGAACCCCTAGATGAACCAGGGCAAAAGTTTAGTTTAAAAGCATGAGAGGAAAAACATGAAATATTTAAGTAAGAAAGGGGACAACCTCTTGCAAACATACCATACTACTTCTTTCACATAGGATTAGGTTTTCAGTTTATTCCCCTCATGAGAATTTCTGTGCTTACCTAAGTCATTAGAGGCATTGAAAATTAGTCCCAAAGCAGACCTGTGGACTGAAGAGTTTGTGAGTTTGGAAGAGCATTTGTACCCAAGACAAGTTCTGTGGTAGCCCAGTGGTACTCGTCATGCAGTCGCTGTAACATTACAAGTAACCCTATCACCAGGTAACTGCAACCACATCAGTGGTGCCTTACCCCAGTCGTGTGTAATAAGCACATAACATGGATTATGGGTAAAAACCATGAACATACCTTGGTAAAGATGACTCGCATCCTGACTTGCAAGAACACAAAAGCGAGCACCTGAAGTATGCCAAGGGAGACTGTATTTGGGGTTAAGCAGACACAAACAAGGAAATGATCTGAAGTTCAGAGGCAAAGGGTGGCGTCATGTTCTGTATCACGTAAGTTACAACACGAGCTATGGGAACTCTTGGGGCAGGATTTCTGAACTACAACAGATGTGAGGTGATCTGGTTTAGTGCTGTTACAGTAGACCAGGTCAAATTCTTTTGCATGCTCTTTGTAGGTTAAAAGCACGGACAAGGGCAGTTACCACCGCTAAACAGGGTACAGTGTTCTTAAGCCATGACAATAAACTAGCTGTCACCCTAGAAAAACCCCCAACATAAAGCACAAATAAGATGTGCAGTTTTGTGTTAGCTGAGCACTGGGAATCATGCAAACAAACAATACATCAAAATGCTTATGTCTCTCCAACTGCTTGCCTGCTGATTATATATAGCCTTTGAGTCTACAGAATTGATTAAAACAAAAGCCATTGGGCTACTTGCAGTAGAATTAAGATATAAATATCTAAATCCAGGGCTCACTGTGGACACTGTAGAGAGGTGAGGGAGGAATGAGAAAATAATAGAAAGTAATTTTCTAAAGCGTCTTTTTATAGAAATCCTACAGACACATGCAGAGTTTTTCATCAAGAAAGCTAGTTAAAGAGTATTAATTACTTTCCTGAAAGTGATTTTCTTTGCTCATAGCAGCTAGCTTTATGGTTTTTATGAAATGTAGGGTTTCTGTACTTTTACTTACCATCTTCTTCAACTACAAAGGTTCTGTAGTTACAAGCTCATAAGCCCCTTCCCCTCAATTAAGTAAGAAATACAGCTTTCAGTAGCTTGCTTTAGTATTTGGACAAAAGTCCCACCATTCAGGCTGAAGAGATGAGATTATAACTTACTGCTTTTCTCCCCCTGTTTGGAGGTAGAGACTTTCTTTAGTCAACATTATATGTTAAGGAAGATTAATGTCTTGATTAGTTCCTCATTTTCTGCCTCAAATGCAAAGAAATATG